CCCACCCCCAGTCTCCTGGGGAAACCTGGGAGGGCCACCTGGAGGAGGGGGCCTTTGAGCCGGTTCTGCAGGAGGCCAGAGCTAAAGAAGAGAGGAGGCGCCCAGGGCTGAGGTGAGGAGCCGGGAGGTTGGGGGAGATGCGGCGTGGATGGAATGAGGCTCTGGGGAACCTGGGGCTTGTTTGACTTAGGGGTGGACTTCTTGGATCCCAAGTTTTCCTAACATTTCCTGTTCCTTCTTCACATCCGGGCTTACGGAAATGAACAGATGTGGGCCTGCCGGTCAGGGGCAAGGGAAGACTTCACTTCCAAAACCCCAGGATCTCTCCCCGTAAGGGCTGGGCCAGGAAGCCCCAAGCCCAATCCTCACAGACCCAGCCCTGCCCTTCCAGAGGCCTGGGTACCCTGAGGGGCAGCTGGGGGGCCAAGAGAGGGGCTGTTGTGGGCATGGCAACAGAGGCCAGTCCTGGGGGTCAACTGCGCCCTTCTCCCAGGAAGGCTGCTGGTGGTGAGGAGGTGGGGGGGCAGGGGGTAAGCTGGCCAGGCTTCATCCCTCCCCTCTGTGGGCACCCCTCAGGGAGGAAGAGAGCCCAGTCTACTGGTTCATGACACCAGGCGCAGCGTGTTGCCCGGCCTGGACCCAGTTCGTGGAGTCAGAGAGGCGGGAGCAGGGCTCGCTGGAGCCACTCCTGGTCTGGGGGAAGGCAAGGTTCTGCGGCCGAACTTCCAACATGTGATTGGGAGAGAAGGCCATAGGTAGAGTGGACCCAGAGGGGCAGCATCGGCCTGATGTGACCTCAAAGTACTCTGCACAGGCTTGTGTCCCAGGCCTCTGTGCACAGGTGTGTGCACGTGTGCTCACGCTATGTACACAGCCCCCAGTAAATGCTCTGGGGCCCACCCAGCCCCCCACCCACCCACCCACATGCTTCCCCGCTTCCATGAGTGTTCACAGCTACAGTCTTGCCCTTGGCTGAAGTGGGTCACCTCACAGGGGCGGGACAGGGCTCCGCCTGCCCTGAGTCAATGACTGGCAGCCAAGAGGGTGACAGATGCAACCCTGCTGCCTTATTTCAAGGCAATGACTCTGGGTGGCTCTGGAAGGCCAGGGTGGGCCTCACCCAAGGCTACCCCTTTCAGGCTCTCCTGAAAGGGTACCTTAGTGAGACACATGCTGTGAACCCTGCCTACCACACATACAGGCTGCCTGCCTC